AATATATTTTATGCATTATTATTATTATATTAGCCGTTGCATGGCATTTGCAAGAAATATCATCTCGTCTCCTATATTGAGACTGGGCGTGGTTAAACTTAGCCTTAACCTTCATGAATGAAAAAATAAATATCAGCTCGTATTTAAGTTGAATCGAATGAATGTAAAAAGACATATAAATATTTTTAAATTTTAAATATAAAAGAAACTATTTAATGATATTATAACCCAAATACCTGTGAGCCTAATAACGAAATTCGCTATGTCTATGTCTATGCATTCCACTGGAAAATGCGCCTAATTTACACTTTGCACTTGTGGCCTTAAATAGTTTAACTAAAATCGCGACACGTTTGTCATTTCAAAATGTGTATAGGAATTTTTTCACTGGAATTTATATGCAACTAATTTCCATGGCCTAAAGCATCTATACGTGAAGTGCTACGGCAAAGCAAAAGCAAAAGACAACGACAACAGCAATGAGGGCAAAGAAAATGCCAGCAACTTTTCATGCAGCGAAGGCGGGCCAGAAACACAAACAGAAAACCAAGTAAGAACAACAACAACAATAACAAGGGCAACAACAACAACAACAAAACTTCAACTGACAAGACAACAAGGACAAGGCTAACAACAGGCAGCAGAGGTATGAAGCAGTAGAAACTACTGCAGAGAGCCAGCTGCTGGCATGGAGACGAAGAGAGGAGGAGGAGGAGGGAGGGGCAACTGCTGCCATGTTAGGAGCACGCAGCGAGACGGTTACAGCATGGCAAACAAGATGAGAATGACTTGCAAGCACTGGGCGGTAAGGGGAGGAGTAGGTCGACGAGGCGGGGTAGCGGACGCTGGAAGGACTAGAAACCGGGTCTAGTCTAGCAATGGCAAAGTTCTACAACTAATCCTGACTGATGTTGCGACAATATATAGAAAAGCACAACATATGCTACTGCCGTTTCGCAGCTACGCTTTGCTGCCTCCCAGCGCACACACACACTCTCTCCTGCCCTTTCTCACACTTTTCCTTCGTTCCGTCTTCTTCCCCCTCACTCTCACACACACACACACAGTTTGGCTGCTGTTTGGCCATTTGTGCCAAAGATTTATGCCTTGACGCACAAAGTTGCATTTCAAATAGATTTCAACTAACGAAAAATAAAAACAACTGCAACAAAATAGTCGAACAATAAAATAAGATATAAATAATAAAATAACAATAAATAAATAAGTATATAATTTATTTGAGTTTTTCATTATTTATCATTTTATGTCGATTGCAAGACAAACTGAAGCTAACTTCTAATGATGCTCTATTAACAATTTTATTATACGAGTATGTATAAAGTAATTGAAAATGGAAGCAAATATAATATAGTGGGGCTACTTTATAACACTTTCATTGTTTAAAAGTATATACATATATTATAGAGCATAAATAAAATAAAATAAACAATAAAATAATATAAAACAGAAATTAACGATTAACATTTAATTGTTAGAAAAAATAATTGAAAAAAACCTTTAAACTAAATTTAAATTAATTTAAATTTTTTATGTAAGAATGTAAGATAAAATAATAATAAAATAATATAAGAAAATAAATTTACAATAAATTTAAAAATTAGTAGAAAAATTTAAAAGTTCTCTTATACTTAAAAAAAAAAAAAAAATCTAAAAACTCGAAAATTGCTTTTAAAAAAGCTTCAAAATATTTTGTAGGAAAAAGTCAAATGTTCGCCAAATTCAGTTTAATTTTGAAAATTTTTATGATTATATGTTATTGTTAATATTCAGTTATTAGGTGATTAAATTACTTAGCACATAGAGACAAAGAATGAATGTAAAAGTACTACAAACAAATTATTGGTTTTGAAAAAATCTAAAAAAAAAAAAAAAATAAAAAAAAAACGAGTTTGAGCTGCTACTATTAAAATTAATTATTTATTAGAACTATTTGTTCAAATTCATAAAATGCAGCTTAAATTTGATTAAACCTTTAATTTCCTTGGGAGGCATATAACTCTTACATAATATTGACATACATATAAATTCATATAAATATAAATGTCGACTTTTCGCATTCTATTCACTAATTAACCAAAAAGTCGCATGTTTTTGCCGCAGCTATTAAGAAATGCTAATGCCAGGTGGTAAATGCGTTTGTGGTAAAGGTGTTAAGTGCTTACAGCTTGCTGCTTAGCACAGCAAGTGCCACACCCGCCTGCTGTGCGCAAATGCTGCGGCACCATGTGGACGTAAAAGTGTCTGTGAGTCTTTGTGTGTGCGTGTGTGTGTGTCACACAGCATATTGTTGTTGGAAAAGGCAGCACCGCAAAATTCAATCAATATAATTGCAACACTTTAGCTAAGAACTTTACCAAAAAGCTAGCAACAAGACACACAGACAAGCACACACACACGCACACACACATATACATATGTAACTATGACATAGTACGTAAACAATGTAAAACTCAAAAAAGATGTCCCATGGTGCTTCGATATGGGTGAAACAAGCGAAGAGAGCGAAAGATAGACAGAGAGCGTGAGAGCATGACAGCGTGAGAGCGTGAGAGCGGGAGAGTAAGAGCCACTGTGTTTATGCTTAGAAGTTTATGCATTTAATTAAGCCTCTAAAAACTTACGTGGGCCTGGGGCAACGACAATAACAACAATGTTGATCGGTGGGGCATGGAAACGACTGGTGCGGGGGGCGCGGGCGTAAGAGAAGGCGCACCTTGTGATRCCCGACACATACATACATAGTAGTTTGTCATTGCCTGCGAGTGGCCGTGGCACACACTTCTGTAGTTTCACTAAAATGAATTTTTTTGCAAACTCAAGTTTTTTGTTTCGATTTTTTGACTTACAAAAAGTTTTTGCCGTCGTAGCTGCGACTTTCTTTCGACTCCGTTCAATCATTTCTTGGTGAGAAAAACTCAGTCAAAATATGAATTTTTCAGGCCCTATAAATAGGTGAAGAGCAACCGAGTATAGGACATTGAATTAGGGTAAAAGTAGAGCCAGCTGCTTAGCTAGTTGCAGTAGTCAATCAATCTTAAAATGAAATATTGATGCACATCTATATCTATCTCTGCTAAAATTTAATATAGTACTATTTAAAATATTGCAGACGAGCAGCAATTGTCTTAATACTCCAATCATTTCTACTTTGACTAAATGCAAGAGCGCTTGAGCAACACTTTGCATGTATATACACATGTATGCATGCATATATACAAGCGAGCAAGCATGTTTGTGCTCTGCAATTAAAGTTGCGCTCAATTCGACTTCCACTTTTTCGAAAGCTTTTGTTCTGCCATTAGAAATGCGCTCAATTCAACTTCCACTTTTTCGATCAAGCTGTACTTCTAGCAGTGGATTCTGTTAAATATTGTTTTCTCTTTTGCTCATTACTATTTTTTCATTTAGTGAGATTTTTTCTTATTCCTTTTACTTTAACCGGGCAGCAGACTTGAGTGGATTATTACTATTATGCATAAACATCGATCGTTACAGCAACGCTCAACAGCATCTTTCAGCATTGCACTCAACTGTTGTGTCATAATCCCATTTGCGCTGGGCTCCTGTGTGGACTCTATTCTCCTGCGGCTATCGCTTGCAATCAACTCATTGCTCCTGTGCACTGCAAGGGATGCTCATTTACGTATGTATGTGTGCGAAGGTATTTAGATTACTTAACATAAACTATATTTACTCTTATATTTCCGTCTTTATGTATGTCAAATTGTATTATATTAAAGCTGATAATTCGTGTATTGTATGCATATTGATCGGCATTAGCATCGCTAATATGAATTTTTATTGAACTAGCTTACCGAAACATTTTGTAAATATATGACCGACTTTTATACATATACATATGTATATATATACATTGACAATAGTCACATCAGGGTACATCCGCTCTTACGGGTATTTTTCTGCTTATTTTGCGCTTTTGGCTGTTGGCGTCCCCTTACTTCCCCAATATTAGTCGGTTCCTCTTCTTCAGATTCGTCTTCGTCATCATCTTCGTAATCATCGTCGTCTTCTCTATCGCTACGTCCATCTGATTGTAGATCACACAGGTCCACCTGCTGTCCTCTTTCATATGTCAGCGTAACCTGGTTAGAATCATCGGCATCTTGAATTTCACTGATCATCAACGTTTGGCTTAAGTCCATAATGTTGGAAGTGCTATCTGCCTCATATTGGGACTCAGGCTTAGCCTGACGGAAGGTTTTACGCCTTGGTGTCGGCAGTTCGGGCACTGAACATGTCGGATCTGGTGAGCTAGACGACTTCTCCACGGAGAGTCTATCTATAATTTGAGGAGTCTCTTGCTGATTATCGTCTGATAGGGACGAGTCGCATTTTTTCCTCTTTTCGTTCAGCCGTGTCTTCTTCTTCTCGCAGCGCATGCGCTTCGAGGGCGATGCACCATCAGGACCCGGATCATCTCTATAAGCGAATGGATGTGTGTTTGAGAAAGGTACCGGCCCCATTTAGCGCCTTCCATTACTTACGCTTTTCTCTTTGTAGCCAACTTGGGACTCTTGCGCGTATAGAGCGCACGCCTCTGCGTCACAGGACGCGACTTCATGGCGATAAGTAGTTTTTTCTTACTCATGCTCGGGGGTGAAGCTTTCTTGGGAGTGCCGCCGCGATAGCCTCTGTATGATGTAAGGGTAAGATATTTAACATCTGGTGTATAACAATTGCTTCACTGAATTACACTGTCCTACATTTTCAAGCTGTTCTTTAACTTTTTCGATGATTTTGGTGTTTTGACTGATCGCCTTGCTCTTGTCGATTTTGGTGTCTTATTTATGGCCATGGACGTGGCCTTACTCTTGGGAGTGTGGATTGGCCTACGGCCCACAATGTCTGTGTAATTGCGACTTCGTAGTTTGATTGGGCAATTGGAACCGCAATTGAGGTGCTCCTGCAGCTCCTTCAGCTCCTGCAGATCCTGCAGCTCCTTCAGCTCCTCTAGCTCCTTCAGCTCCTGCTCGAGCGGTGGCTCATCTAAACTAGGCGTCGGTAGCTCAGAAGTCCCGGCCTGTGAACTGCATTGATCCACCGTCTTGTTAGCCGTCAGTTGAGCTATTTGGGCAGCTGTTGCTGCTGCTGCTGCGACCACGGCTTGCAGGAAACTTTCTGATTCGCTTAAAGATGCCATGAGAATCGAAGTTTTCTGCGGTTAAAAAACTATTAAAGGCACGTATTATAAAAAAAAAAAATTAAAAAAAAAAGAAAACTAATGATAAGTTTAGGAGATTATATACAAAATTTTGCTATATTCAAACTTGTTTTGTCGATGACCTATTGTCGAAGTTTGACGCAAAGACTCTAAGCGCCGAGATATGTAAAATAGTAGAAATCCCCACCTACTGAGATTATTGAGAAATAACAAATCAAATGCGTAAAGTGTGAAGAGCATGAGCATGAGAGAGTTCAGCTCTTGCGCTCATGAGCACACTAATCTAAACTTTCACTCATCGGCTGTGCATCAGCTCAATTGTTAGAATAGTTCCACAACTTAGCTTCCACCTCGCTTCGCTCTAGTCGGTTAGTCATCTTACTTTGTTGATGGAAATTTCCTATGCTCATATTATTTGCTCGTAATAAACGTCGTACATATCTGCAAAAACAAAATACAATAATTAAACACAGGACTTAGATTACGCGTAGACTATATCTTCACCATCAGTTTACGATCCCCTTGCTGAGCGCATTTTTGTGGACTCTAAGTGAATTCAGGCCCACACTACCTGCACTGTTTACACCACATTCACGCTCAATAGCAACTAAACCAATCACATTACACGCTCTCTCCTACGAATGTTTATTCGTATGAGTGTGTGTGTGAGTATGTATGTTTGAATGTGTGCTTACGAGGCCCATGCTCAATTAAAAAGAGACGGGTCATTGCATTTGAGTTATACCCCCTAAATGTAATGTAATATCTCTTTAAAGTCAACTCAAACCAAGCCAAAATAAATAAATAAAATAATTACTGATGATTACAGCTCATATTACCCAGATAGGAGAAGACAGAGGCACTTCGCTCAACCCTTGCAGCAACCATCGAGCAAAATAACCGCTGTGAAAACTTTGCCAGCTGTATTACATTACGCCTTTAATTTCATTAGATGCCAACGAGCTGGGCGGCTGCTGGGAGTGCAGGTTGTAAGCGTGGGGGGTCCGTGGCCATGGGGGACACACGCAGCGTCAGTGGCCCATAAAATAGAACAAAACACTTGTAAAGTCAGAAGAGGGGCCAGAGAGGAAGAAGAGATAGACATAGAGGAAAACAGAGACAGACAGAGAGAGAGAGAGAGAGAGCGAGAGAGAGAGAGGTAGAGGAGCGTGAAGCTCATATTCCAGGACGACATCGTTGACGGTATTGCAGCGCAGCAGGCAACCAAAACGGGTTTGGTCTGTGCTCACATAGAGCGAGATCCTGCCGGCTCATGATTCCATTTTCGTGGCAGGACGTCGCGTTAGAGTTTATTATTTAATACTTTGAACGTCGTGCGTAGAAATTAGCAGCCATAAATCAATGAAACGACTCGCACAAGTCCACAATTAGCCAGAGTCCCCTGTCTCGGACTGTGCCTTGCCTCGTCATCAACCTCGTGTCACGTCGGATGGACAGCCTAGAATTATAAGAGCCAGTGTTGGGTAATTAATTTTTATGTTGTGTACATAAGATACACTTGCTTGCGGATGTCTGAGCGTGAATCTGGGGCATTAACAGTTTCCATAGTTCGTACAACAATTGCTGCACATAACTGTGGGATTGAACGCCAGGCAGTAAACGTATTAATATACATATGTATTACCATTCATTTCACCAGCACATGGAAACTGCTCGTAAATGTAGTAATTCAATTATCTTGTATACCAAAGAAGAGCTCAAAGTCCACACTCTAAAGCTCATAAAGAAATTAAGGAGTGAAGCTTGAAAGCTGAGCTGAAAGCTTTATGCAGAGCTACTGAAAAGATCCACATGAGCCTACACACGCACACTCTTACAAACGGCGCAAATGTGTGGAAGCTAGCCTATGAGCGGTGTGGATCGTGAGAGCATGAGAATTATGTTAGTTCTCTGTTATCTACTACACTCTAATCGTTGAGAGCTTCCATTTCTATCACTGTTCACACACGCTTCACATCTTCCGAGTATTGTCACAAATTATTCCGGTCTGATATTAGTTTTTATTATATGGTATTATATTATTATATTCTTAACGTATTTAGCTATTATCTCTTTTTTACAATTAAAAGTTATAAATGAATTAATTATTCCACCCAATTTGAGCCC